AAGTATAAAATGAGAAATGATTGGAACAACAAAAAGATAAAGTTTCGTTTGATATTATACTGTACCATTAAAAATAAACTATACCTGTTACAACAACTTGGAATGAGTCCTTCTCATCTGAACTACACACACTGCTACCACTACCACCAGCAATGCAGTGATCCACATCATGCTCTGAATCTGTTGTTCAGTAAAAACTACATTAAATTATTGTATTTACAGTTTACGAGCAGCTGCACGTACAAGAAATTAATTTTATAATAAATGAAAGTTGATAGACAGGGTCGTAGCTAGGTTTTTTCTAATGGGGGTCTGGGGGTATCCTTCTCCAGAAAATTTTCAAATTTTGAGGGTCTGAAACACTATTGTCTGCACTTGTCATGAGATATGTCTCCAGAAAATCGACCTCGAAAATGAAAATGGGAAACAGTTATTGCCAGTCACGACAATCAAAATAACTGAGTGTAAAGAAAACAAATCCATCCACAGACTTGATTTGTCTGGCTGCCCACTCCCCCCCCCCTACCCCACCCACTAGCTACGGCTCTGATAGATGCAGTTATTAATTAGCTTACAAATCAGCTCAAATCTCTGTAGCTCAATAGGCATTTTAGAGTATCAAACTATTATTTTTAATGTTTAAGTACAAAATGAGAAATTATTGAAACAACAAAAAGATAAAGTTTCGTTTGCTTTTAAAACAAAACCATTAAAAAAAAATTATACCTGTTACAACACCTTGGAATGAATCCTTCTCAACTAAACTACACACACTGCTACCACTACCACCAGCAATGCAATGACCCACATCATGCTCTGAATCTGTTGTTCAGTAAAAATAGCTTTCCTAATCAAATAATTACCCTAGTGACATGAACTAGCCCATACCAGGCTGATTCTATAGATCTTTTAGATCTATATTTTTCATGTACATTTACGAGATTTTTAAAAGAGATTATAATGAACTGCAAACATTATCAACTGACATACCGTATTTATTCGATTAACCGCCCTGGGCGCTTATTAAATTTTTGGACCTTGAGAGTGGGCGCTTATTCGAGGTGGGCGCTTATTCGAGGCTGGGCGCTTATTAAATTTTCACCATTTTCAGCANTTCATGTACATTTACGAGATTTTTAAAAGAGATTATAATGAACTGCAAACATTATCAACTGACATACCGTATTTATTCGATTAACCGCCCTGGGCGCTTATTAAATTTTTGGACCTTGAGAGTGGGCGCTTATTCGAGGTGGGCGCTTATTCGAGGCTGGGCGCTTATTAAATTTTCACCATTTTCAGCAAGAGTAGTATGTTAATTTTGCAACAATACAGTAAATGGTAATAATAAAACGCGAAGATGTGACAAAGCAAGGTTTCTGTAAAATACTCTGAAGAAAACTCCGTCTTCGGGCAAGTCTCTTATTGGTACTTATTTAAGGTTTTTTGGGAGGGAGGGACCAGAAAGGGGGTGGGCGCTTATTTAGTTTTAGTTTGAGGGGAAGGGAGGTGGGGTGGGGGTGGGCGCTTATTCAAGGCTGGGCGCTTATTAAATTTTTCTGCCTTCAGGATGGGCGCTTATTCGAGGTGGGCGCTAATTTGAGGTTGGGCGCTTATTCGAATAAATACGGTACTCTTGGGCAAAACAGATAATATTGGTGCAGTTCATTATTAAACGGACACACACATAAGGCCTTGATGTTAGATAATAATTATTATGCACGTAGTCAGTTAATCAAAAAGGAAAGAAGAAAAAAAAAACAGGAATCTGGTTTAGACGATACATTATTATATTATTATTATCCTGGACTTGACTTATTGTAAATGCAAGTATTTAGACACAATGGAACCCACAACAATCACTGCCATTAAAACCAGAACAGTACATTAATAAAAGTACGCCTCGTGTACATGTGTAATTTTAAATCTAGTGTTCAAGTTAATGTAAATTTCTGAATATTACACATTCCATGTAGCTATATTTAAAAATATAATGAAATATAAAATAAATCACACGAACCTTCCGGATCAACGTTTGCTGAGAGGTCCTCATCTGATGATATTGAGTTGTACATCAAAGAATCTACACAAAAGTGAATTATATTAAAGCAAGGCAAGTCAAACTAGAATGACAACTGGGGCGTACTTGGCCATAGAATTGTTAAAAACATCATCCCAGTAATGCTCTCAAATAACAACCACAATCCCACCAGCTACGAAGGCTTTTCTTCACGCTTATCATTATCTTGTGTCATTCATAGCGAGAGCGGAATCAAAACACTTAAAATTCAATCTTTCTTTAATATTATAAAGCTAGTACTTCACATAGTGCTTTGTATCGAATTGTACATGTTGTATGCATAATTACTAGAGGTAAAAAAGAGGAAGATAAACCGGCACTTACCCGTTGCGCTGTAAATCGAGCGATGCCGCTTGACAGTGTTCAGCGAACGTGTTGTCCCGTCGCAGTTTGAACAGAAACATCTTCTTTTTGACATTATTTTATTATAAAAATAAATATTTGCGTGACCAAGTCGTTGAACAAAAAAAATTCAACCGAAGGAACCATTAAAAAGCAACAAATTTGACCCGGCGTGATAACAAGACGCGTTTCTCAACGCTAACTCTTCAAAAGTGTAGCTGTGCGTTATTTTCGCGCATTTAAGAAAAAATATACCATCCACCTCAAATAAACCGCAACGACGCAACGATCGTGGAAACAAGATAAAGTTACGCTATTGAGGGAAATCTAACGCGCTGTGTAAAGTGAACTGCAGAAATGTTGCAGCCGTGCTCGTGCCTTAGATCGTGACTTTGTCACTGACGCAAGCCGACACTCTGTAACCAATGATATTTTAACACGAAATCGAGGAAGCCAATCAGGAGAGCCCAATTCTGGAGTGGCGCGAAAGTTGCGAGGGAGAAAGACGTCGCAATATATTTCTTTTGCTCGCTCCTGGCGGTGTTGCAAAATTTTGAATGGGTTTGCCATGACTGCTACCAGTGGCATGCAAACACCTCACCAAATAATGAGTGAAATGTTGAAAGACCAAACCGCACGTGAAATGTTGCAAGAGTTTTTCGGCGATATGATGGCAGCACAGGTAAGAGCGTAGAGGACCTTTTTTCATCCTTGGCCCAGTTGTTCAAAGGCCGATTGACCCTGACCGGGGTTAAATTTTAATCTGGGTTTCTTTTTTTTTTGTTCGAAAGCATTTTCTCTGATAATTTTCTCTCTTCTCTTTAGAGTACCCAAATGCAATCATCAAATTGTACACAAAAAGAAAAAGACTTAATTTGCTTTTAAACCTTCAAATTTGAATTCAAATCTCGCACTAACCCTGGGTTGTCTTAACCCAGCTTTGAACAACCCGGCCCTTATCTTTTGTCAAGACCCTATGAAATTGTTTTACACTCTCTTTGTATTACAGAAAGAGACTACTCCTCCTTCCGAAGTTATTTCTCTGGTAAGCAAATAGTAAAGAACTACATTATTTAGGTTCTTATATGAAAACTGAAGCGTGTCGAGTGAGGAGGCCTTGAGACGCCGCTTTGCAAAATTTTGCCCTGGCAAATCAGCGTGATTTTGAAGCAAATTCATTGGAAAAAAAGGCGACCAACGTCAAGATGAAGTTATGACGAGTAAAAAGACAAAATAATGCGAATTGCGCTTTAGTAAAAATGCTCGGCAAAGAAATGAATTCTTTGACAATACGATTATGTGGAACGAAGTGTTTTCAAGGTAGTTCCCTCTCCAGCCTTCCAAAATGGCCGCAATAAATATTCTGATATAAAATAAAAGTGAGGAAAAGAGAATGGTTAGTGAAAATAGCCTCCAAAGTTGCATCGTGGGGAAATTTTTTGGCATCTAAAAAAACAGGGGCATTCAACGACCATCTACTCCTAATTACATGGAACACTTTTTACACTATCCAAAACACATTTAGAAGCTGTTTTTACAAGGACCAACGGAGGAAAGATGGAAACGACTTCGACACAGACACAGTGTCCGGTTTCCAAAATATTCCAGAGCTAAAAAAAGAGCTAAAACTTGCAGTGCTCTTAGTTTTGACCGAATAAACTTTTTCAACATGGCGAATTTGTTTTCACTTTTCTCAGCCTTGTCATGTGCTATTGTTTTCGTGAGCCAATAAAAACTTTCTTTTTTTCCTCGTTTTTTTTCCATCGATTTATGGCCTGCGTGCTTCGATGGAAAAAAACTCGGTCCGTAATTTACAGTACGGACCGAAAACTCGGCTAATACTGAGTTATTAGAATACGTGTTAAATGATAACCCGGACAATCTAAACAGTGAAATATTTCCAAGTTGGAATCCCAATACTTTGATTTAATATTAACGATCAATTAATGCTGTTTAAATTCTCAATCAAAGTTTTTCTTTCAGTTCTTTTTTTTTTTTTTTTTCAACATAATGAGAGGTGTGAGTGTAATTATGTAATTCATCACGACAATAAGAATGAAATAATCAGCGTTACGTTCACTGACTTCCGGCAAGTCCTGGTACTCACAAGGCTTCAGGAGCTAATTCAGAAGTGACTTCATCAACATACTAGCTTTCTACTTGCTCTCTTAAGAGCAAAATTGTAGCACACTTGACTTTAGTGGAAGCTTTAATTCGCAATGTTATTTTAAGTGCGTTATAGTTGCACGCTCAGTTCGTCACTGTAAAAGTATTCCGATCCCAGAATAGGGCTAAGCATGCCAGTTAAAGGTCGTTTTCATGTAAATCCGTAAGGCTTTTGTAATGCTTTTTGCGAGTAATTTATGAGTACTTTGACAAAGAACGCTAGTTACCTTTTTTAGTATTTATTCTATTGTTTTCTTTCAACAACAATACCTACCAAGCATATTACCGAACTTTTTCTCAATAAGTAATATGGTTTTGCTTATCGGTGGATTAACAAATCTTTCCGTTTAGGAAACTGAGCTTTATTTTTATTCCTTTTTTTTTTTTTGGCCTTCCTTTTTCTCTTGTTTAGAAATTGTTATATGCGAAGCTGACATCATGGGAAACCAGAAATGAAAAGTTGACAAGAGAATTCTGTAACAGCTTACTACGTCAGCTGAAAGAGAAACATCTTGATCCAGTCCTCCAACGACTGCAGGGGAAAGAAGCGGCCAAAATATCTTTCGATGAAGTCATTGGTGGATACAATCAGATGCAGGAGGATTACAAGAATTCTGCCATAGGTGCCAAAGATGTTATTGCCGCGGTTTGGGCAGAGTTTCATCCGGTAAGATTAAACGTTGAAATTAGTCCATTTCTTTCGAATTGAGTACTGATCGGCCATCTGCTGGGTTAGATTGGTTTGTCGGAGTGAAAACTGAAAAGACATCCCCTCTAAGTCGCAAATGAAGACATCCGATTAAACGTCTAGGCTATTATTCCTTTCAGTGAACTTTTGTTCTGTTTTGTTTGGTTGCAGGCTCTTTTGAAAGAACAGAAACAATCCTTAAAGTGGCTAGGACCACTCAAAGACTATGATGAGAAACTAGCCCAAGAATTAGCAGCCAAGGCTTTACAAGAACAGAAGAATCAAAAGCTTGAGGTTAAAATTTTTTTTCTCACGCTGATTTTTGGCTTTAGAAAACTTGAATAAGCAAAATAACTTTTAGACCTCGTCATCTCTTTTTCCTTTGCACAACGGGCAAACGAATAACAAGACTTTTTTTTAGTATAAATATTTTAATATTTAGTTTTGCATTTTTTATTTGTTTGAGCTTAAACTTTATTTTGTAGGATGACAGAACTCGGTATTTCTAACAATCATTTGAACAGCAACAAAAATTGATTTTCTACTTCTGACGTAAATAGTAAGCATTAAGGTGACTCGACCCAGTTTTTTTGGGGGGGGTACCATCCTACTTTGAAGCTCTCTGGTATCCCCACCTTTACTTTTATCGTAAGTCTAACACATAGAATGGATAACATATAGATCAATCTACAATATAACATAAAATTTTTGGCGATCGGAGTAAATGTCACGTGGTTATAATGCCACGCCCCTTTGAGGTCTGAGTCGAAAATCTGCTGTTGCCGGCATTTTTTCGTGAAAATCTCTCGGCTACACATAGTGCGCATTAGTGCCTTGCGCTGAACAGAGTTTCACCAAAATCGCAAAGACCCAATTCGAGAAATTCAGCGGTTTCCAAATTTAGGTCATAATTTATGCGAAAATGATAAGCAAACTTTACACGGATTATATCTAATAAACTATGAGATTCATCTCTTTATTTTGGGCATCGTTATAACAGATGGGTCCTTGCAAGTCAGCAAAACGCTTTAGGGCCTTGTAAATGCGCGCGATTTCGAGCAAAGCAAACATATAGAAATTATAGTTTTCGCTATTTGTTGACGTTTGTCAGCGTTTAAGAGTCCTTCTCACGAAAAAAGCATTTTCTTAAAAATTCGTAGTTTTTTTTCCTTCAAATTTTTTCAGGGCCACAATTGATTAACTAACTACCCGGACTCTGAATTTCATGGTCATTGAAAAACTGTGACATTATCTTCTATAAGCCCAAACTTGAGTAAACATTGAAGATTTTTAGCGTTTTGGCTGAGTTTGTGCTTTGGGAGTTGTCTATTGTTTCTAGTCTGTCATTATACAGCATTCTTGTTCAGCACGCGTGCAATGACCGCGCTTGGCTGACTTCCGAATGCTCACCGAGATATAATAATTTTGGTACAGTGAGACAGGCCATCGCGTGATACATAGAGGTTTAAGTCACAATTTTTAATCAATTCTCGTGCTTCTTGTGCCTTTGCAAAAAAATCAAGAAGTGCTACACACTAAATCTACTTACTATTAAAAAAATATCATTTTTTCATAGGTTTAATGCAAGCCAATAATTAAACCAACTCGTGACGGGAATATCTCGGTGAGCATTCGGAAGTCAGCCAAGCGTGGTCATTGCACGCGTGCTGAACAAGAATGCTGTATAATGACAGACTAGAAACAATAGACAACTCCCAAAGCACAAACTCAGCCAAAACGCTAAAAATCTTCAATGTTTACTCAAGTTTGGGCTTATAGAAGATAATGTCACAGTTTTTCAATGACCATGAAATTCAGAGTCCGGGTAGTTAGTTAATCAATTGTGGCCCTGAAAAAATTTGAAGGAAAAAAAACTACGAATTTTTAAGAAAATGCTTTTTTCGTGAGAAGGACTCTTAAACGCTGACAAACGTCAACAAATAGCGAAAACTATAATTTCTATATGTTTGCTTTGCTCGAAATCGCGCGCATTTACAAGGCCCTAAAGCGTTTTGCTGACTTGCAAGGACCCATCTGTTATAACGATGCCCAAAATAAAGAGATGAATCTCATAGTTTATTAGATATAATCCTTGTAAAGTTTGCTTATCATTTTCGCATAAATTATGACCTAAATTTGGAAACCGCTGAATTTCTCGAATTGGGTCTTTGCGATTTTGGTGAAACTCTGTTCAGCGTAAGGCACTAATGCGCACTATGTGTAGCCGAGAGATTTTCACGAAAAAATGCCGGCAACAGCAGATTTTCGACTCAGACCTCAAAGGGGCGTGGCATTATAACCACGTGACATTTACTACGATCGCCAAAAATTTTATGTTATATTGTAGATTGATCTATATGTTATCCATTCTATGTGTTAGACTTACGATAAAAGTAAAGGTGGGGATACCAGAGAGCTTCAAAGTAGGATGGTACCCCCTCAAAAAAACTGGGTCGAGACACCTTAAATCCTACGCCAGTCACCGAGCCGTCTCCTAATATATTTGAATAACGCTCAAAGGTTGTGATATATGGCTGACGACTTTATATTCGGGTACACAGGGGAACTGAAATGTTACAACCACGTGCATTTTTCTTTGATTTGTTTGGCAACATAGCTATTCTTACTAACTCGAGTAAGCTGATTTCGAAAATCATTGTTGCCAAGCTCAATTCCTTTGTTAAGGTGGTATTTTGGTGCATTTCATTATGACCGCTTTGCCCAAAAAAGGAGTTTTCTTTCCTTTAACAATTTTACGTTTACTATAATTAGAGACGCTTTGAACTTGTGATTAGTGTACTGTAAAGATGATTACGAAAATTTCTGGCAGTTTTTAAGCTGTGTCTACTAATATTAAGCCGTCACTTAACACCTGACCACGCCCTTTGAATAGTTGCGTTGAAAACGAATGTAATACTTGTATTAACAGGAAGCTGCAAGTAAAAACATGCAACCCTTTCAACATCGCCCATAACACGTGTTCTTAGCAATTGTAAGACCTCTCTGTTCCTGCACCAAGCACTTTGGGGTAAAAGCGTTTAACGGCTAATTCAAGGGGGGAAACTAATGAAAAGACAAAGGGTGTTTAGGGGTGGCTAAATGTGACTGGAAAAAGAGTTAAACGGCACTCCACGTGCATGAGATCTCCCTTTCCCTGTAGGAGAGATACTGCCGAGCCGAGCTAACGGTGCACGAATACTGACCTGTATCACGAAAACTTCCTCAGCGCTTAGCAGATGGGTTCTATCTTACCACCTGGATTCTCATATTGGTGCGTAGACATCAACGATGTCGTATAACATGCACCACGATGACCGTTTCATCCAAAGACAGAGTGCCAGGGAGAGACAAAGGCAAGATAATAAAAAGCTGAAAATGCACTACACTACAAAACTTCGGGAGTCTCCACTCAGACAAAAGATCTTACCTGCGACTTGGGAAATTGAGCAGTCTCTTGTCCAAGTTGTTATAAGGGACAGACTCAGGTTGAAACGTTTGTGCAATGTAATGGAGGCTACTTTCTACAGACAGAACAGAAGAACAGGATTACAAAGTTAAAATTGGTACAACTAGTTTCAAGACAAGAGGGGTAAGACTAATCTGTGGAACTGCAGACCGTTGAACCACGGAACTGGGGAACCGGCGGAACTTACGGAACCTACAGAAATGACTGTTTTTATTACAACTGCCTTTGGCCAACGTGATAAAATGATTAGGTAAATCAATTATAGCATTGATAGACTGTTCACAGTCCCCTATTTCCTCGAAAGGTCGTCGAAATCGAGCGCTCACTGGCAGTCAGTTTGGAATTGGTTTCAAATGTACCAAGGGGGCGGACCTCAGGGTTCCCAAACCGCCCCCCGCCCCCGAAGCAGTTCAAGCTTGACCCGGTCAATATAGCTTCCTGTAGCGTGCCTACTCGACGAGTTTGTGAAAAAAGGGGTATAACACCATAGCATTAATCGAGAGGTCTGGTTCCGAACTGGAAGTCCACAAATCGCGGATTTCCGCCTTGTTGGTACGTAGGAAGGCAACGAGAGGTACATATTTAAGCACAGTAGCACAAGGTTGGGAGGATGAGAGAATATAATGTGAATGTGTTTGTGAAAAATAGATGATATTGAGCGAATGGCTCGGTGGTATCTGAGAACTAGTGGGATACGTGTGAGTGAGTCGGTTATGGTTCGCTGGGTCAGCACGTCAGTGTGTGTGATAGGTTGAACTCGTTGAATCCCCTGGTATAGGAGACCGAGATTGTATCCACGTCTGTTGCGGTAGTGTTATGTTAGTTCGTTAAAACGCAGTTCGAACGTCTCGTTGAAGGAACATATACCTCGCATTCTCAGGGCAAGGCTGAATGGAAAAGCTGTTTTAGTGCGTAAGGGGCATAAAAAGAAATAAGTAGATGCATAAACAGAGAGATATTAAGTTGGGATGGTGAAAATTACATTTCCCAAAAGTGACTAAGATGGGGTCTATATTTGGCCACAGAATGGATTATAATCGGGTAGGTGTTCTGAGAGACCAGCGGCACATACCCAGCAAAGATTTAACCCAAGTAACCCCTTCCTCACCCCCCCCCTCCCCCCCGGGCTAAGAGGTGACATGATGAACGTAAAAGGTACTGATGTTCGGCGGCTGTAGGTTTACTATAAAGAACAGCTTCAATAATCGATACCATCATTGAAGGGCACCTTGACGTAGAAAAAGGGGAAAGATTTGAATGAACAGTTTGATGTAAATTTATAGTGGGATGAAGTTTCAGTTTAGGTAGGAGACGGAATAATACGTTTATTGTGAAAATGAATTTGAGGAGATCGCAAAGATTCTGCCGCATGTATGGTGATGGCTGCAGAGCGGTGTGCCGTCATGAGAAGTGACGCCAGGCGCCAATACCCACACTCAGTTTACTGTATTTAAATCTACACCTTTTGTTTCCTTGCGACGACTACTAACACGCCGAACAATAGCTCTAGATCTCGACCAATCAGCGGGCGAATTATTGAAAAAAAATTGATTGTAACTATTCTCACCAGGGATTCCTTCAAACAATGGTGAATTTCAGCATGTTACGTGACTCCAAACCCCTGGAATTTTAGCATGAGAATGGTTATGCAACCTTTGACACGTTTTTTGGCTATATAATCTTATTCCGGTGCGGTCAGTCCTTTATAACCTCAAAAGTCCTTTCCACGGCGTTTGAGGAGGTTTAGCTAAGTGCGTTAAAACCTCCTGTACGGTATCATCGCTGCGCCGTAATTTGCGTTTTCAGTTTGCTTCTCGTTTCACCATGGCTCACGTCCCTGTTATTCCTGCTGGAGCAGACGTCGTTGCAGCCGTAGACCCACCGGTTCCAGCTCCAGTAGTTCCACCAGTTGTAATACCAGCTCCAGTTGCACCGGTAGAAGCAGCACCGGTAGTTGCGCCATTAGCGGCCCCAGCACCAGCACAGGATCCAGGTCCAGCGCCGATTCAAGCCGTTCCAGAGGTGGCAGATGCTCAGCCTGTAAGTGTGTTATCTCGCTGTGTTTGTATTTTTTC